TTGTTTTTATGAATTTTAAAACTTCTATTTGTTTTATATAAAAAAATTTTTACCAGAATTTAGCAACACTTACTTTCTCCTAATTGATACAAACTTAGTTTTTCTTGGGTAAATTATCATCATTTCGAATATGAGATAAAGATATCGACAAAGGTAAAATAATTCAGAAAACGTCGAAAACTTTCGTTATTATAAATTCTATATGTAAAAAGAATTTCGTAGATGGAAAGATTGGTAATACTTCATATAATTTTAAACTGATACTTGAATAAATTACTTTTTATTTTAATAAAGTATCGTTCATAGTATATGAATACAAATGTTGAGAACATGAGTGATATCAATAAATTCTGATCAAGAAACGCCTACATTTTGTTTTTGTTTTTTACTCCAAGATAAGATTCATCATAATTCAAAAGTATTCTTTTGTATTGTTATACAACATTAGAATGAAAAGAAATGAAATTATCTCTGAATTACATTTTTAAAAAGTCGTTTTAAATTTAAAACAAAAAACAATGATAACAAAATTTATCAATTTCTTTTTTTCCTTCTTGGTTACTCTTTATCTTACAATAAATTTAATGATATCTATTAATGAAGGCACTGCTTCAAGTAATTCATCGTGTTTGAGTTCATATTTTCGAGAAGATTTCTAGACAAGAATGACACCATAGGACAGCATATTTTCAGGAATATTGAATAGAGAATATTTAAATTGAAAATTTATCTATGATTAGATCCCATAATCCTAAGAAGATTCGAACAATTTAATCGATTTTTTATCATGAAATAACTCGAGTAAGGAGTAATCGTTTTAGATGCAAATGTTAGGATTTTCTTAGGATTATGAGACCTAATTACAGACGAATTTTCAAGTGAAAAATTCTCTGTTCAATATTCTCAGCAGTAGACTATCCTAGGATAAAAATTTAACAAAACAAGCAAAATATTGGAGAAAAGATCTGACGACATGAATTCCTCTATATGAACTCAAAAATGCTGAAGAATAAGAATACTCCACCTTTCGACTGTTTCGCGGTATAAGGTACTATTCGGAGATTGTTTCGAAAGTTCGATATTTTCCCTACAATTATTACTAGTTGCATCTCTGAACAGAAGACCAGTCTACCTCAGAGTTCTTCCACTCGATCAGTTGAGCTCCCTTTACACACTGACTAACCACAAGGATCATCACAACATAGTCAGTATACTATTGTACGGGTGATCCGAGACAAAACAGTCATTAGTGACTTGTCCAAGGTTATTCCATGTCTGATGGTGCTATGGTTCGAATATAGTACCTTGGTAGTACGTGCTAAAGAACTTAACTACTCAGCAATAGCGACTCAAAGTGTTGAAACACTTCGGGCGATGCTCACGTGAATAGATTCTAGAGAAAAGTTTGTTTTTTTAAGAAACTCTTATCCTTGAAATAAAAAAACAAAACAAGCAAAATATTACTAACAATTTATTTTAAAAAAGGGAAGCTCTTCAAGTGATAAAAAGCTTTTGAAACGTGGTTTGTATTATTAGTTTGTATCTACTGATAGTATACGATATCTATAATGGAGTCTTGCTGTTATTACTTTCTTTTCGAGTCCTCAACATTTTAATGAGTTCCTGACCTAATGCAGGATATGCCATTAAATATTCAATATTGTTCTCTCAACCTGAAATTATCCCTATAAATAAGTCTCATTAAAATTATCATACACCGAAAGTTTCAGCTATGAAAAATACTTTCTTTCTTAGATCACAAATTTACAAGAAAATCAAATTTTTCTGAAATATGTGCACTTGTTGAGGATATGATATGTTAAGATGAAAACATTCGTTATATGTGAAACTTTCAATATATGATAGTGTTCATAAGATCTCGTTATGGGCAAAATTTCAGATAAAAATCACGGCATTAAATATGCAATGACATACCCCGTATTAGATCGGAAACTCAATAAAATGTTCATAACTCGAAAAACAAAAAGTAACAAGGGTACAGATCATTATAGGTTTTGTCTAGTCTCAGTAGACTCAACCTAATGACATAAGTTTCATCTCAGAAACTTTCTTATTATTTGGAGAGATTTCTCCAAAAAATGATATTCTCAAATTACTCAAATTGATTTCCATAATAAAAATATGTTGTTCAATTACTATTGTCAATGACTCTAATATCTGATCTTATTCACTGAGTTTTTTTTTTTTTTTCTAAACAATTAATTATTTTATTAAGAAGCATATGATGAAGTCAAATATACATATAAATAAATGGAACTTATATTATCGAAAATAGAAGTAAATTTTCAAGTTGTAAAGATAATCTAATATCCATATATTTTTTTTTCTTCTGTTTTTTTTTTCTTTCTATATTTCTTGCTTTTCCGATCTGCTCTGTTAGTAGATAATTATTTTCCGCATCATTTCTGTGATAAAAAAAAACGCACATTGATAGAAATGAATACACTACTAGACAGAACGAGTGAACGACTCATTTCACACTCCAATTCAACATACTCGGCCTATATTAGAATCATTATTCGATCTTAAGCTTATCGTGCTTTGTTTTATGTATGTATATTTAGAAACGATTATATATATTCATTTAGTGTCTATCTGTCGATATATAGAAACTTGCAAACACCATAATCTGCATACTCATCAAATTGTTTTATAGATTCTATGAGTTGTTCTTCAATGATCAATTCAATAGAGAAGTCAAACGAGAGGAAAGAGAGAGCGCATCTAAGTGTTTTTGTCACAATTGCATCAGCCTTTCAAAATCGATTTGAAACTAGATCAATGTGCGTTGAACAATCAGTTTCCTCCTTCCTTTTTCTATTATTATTATTATTATCATCATTATAGTTCTAACAATTATCATCAAGGAAATGAATATCGTGTAATTATTTGATAATATGAAAAGAGAGAGAGAGAGAGAGAAGAACGACCGTTGTAGGTTGACAAAGCTTTCTAGTTTCCTTCTATATGGTGAAGTACCTTTTCCTTCTCTGCTATTGTCAATTCTAAAATTAAAATATATATATATATATATATACGTTTATGTGGAAGTACAAAAGAACTTGATTGAATAGAAAAAGAAACTGAAGACATATCTTTTCATGTTAATTAAAGAAATTATATTAATTTAGAAAAAAAAAAAGCTTTATTCAAATAAGGTAAATTTTAATATATATTATTCATTTCGATAAGATTCATAACAAAGTATTGTTTTCATTGATGATTTGAATATAGAATAGTTAATTTACTGTTGTTTTCTTTTCTTTCGTTTAAGAATACAAAAAAAAACTAAGATTTTGGATACACGAGTACCATACTTAGTTGACTTAAGTTAACATGTTATTATTTGCATCGTACACATTCGTCTCATCGAAGATGAATGTCAATAAATCATTGATATTCTCTCTATTAACATGACATTTTCATACTATTATACGTCGTTATCTTTTTATATTAGAAAGAATAGCTTCTAAATGACATGAATAGTTTTTAAATTAATTGATAAATGTGATAATTAATCTATCATAATAATTCAAGATAAAACATACTACAACAAAATATGCTCGTTATTTTTAGTTTATTTATAAGTTAATATTGATCAATTGTTGAAAACTATGCGGTTTTCATATATAGTCATTTGATTAGAAATAAGTTCTCTTCAATTCGTTAGTAAACGATTGTCTTTTATGCACTCAAAATACTCTTAAAGTAAGATGGTGATTTTTTTGCAATAGAAAGCAAGAGAAAAAAACAATATATATCTATATGAAAGATCTTATTGAGTTTATCCATACGTTAGTTATGAAGCGAAGACATAGAGAAAAGAGATGACACATGGTATCGAATAAATGATGAAATATGATTATGGTGAAAAGACGACAGCGAAAAACAAGACAAACAGCCTCGAGTATGACCATGAGCGAAGAAGAAAAACAGAGAAAAGGGTCTTTGATAAAAAAAAAAAAAAGATAGAGAGAAAAAAAACCGAGTGGATGAATAGGACTGCTTGTATAACGTTCACACATTATTTCCTTCTGTCTCAGCTTTTTTGTCAATAATAGCAGACTAACTATTGGCACTGGTGAGTGTGACTATGTCATTATGATGCCTACATACTTAGAGAACAATAACGCAAATGTAAGAGACAAAAAATAAGTATTAAAACAGCAGCTTGAAAGCACAAAAGAATAGCCTTTTCTCGATCTTTTACTATTGGCATCGGCCCATTTTCTTTTTATAATTTTTCTTTCATACATTGACACACATGGTGCTACTCACTTTGATAATGACTATCATAATAATCATAACCTAGAATAATCATAAAGGATCCATATTGGTTAGTAGTATTGTGTCTATGATTTTCTTTTTTTTTTGTTTTCAATTTATAAAAGATGCCTTAGGGAGTAATAAGAGTAGGTCTATTTTTATTGAATAAATTAAATAGTCAAAACAAAAAGAAAGAGACAAATATGGTTCATTTTCCTTTTTGATAAATGTATCTATATGTGTATTCATCGTTTGTTTTTTAAGCACCGGAATTACTTTATTTATATTGGATAGTTTTTTATTACTAAAGTAAATGCTCTTTTAAGAGCATCATATTTTTTTCAATTTATTATTCGAATAAGTTTCAAATAAGCAAAACTATATCTATTATAAATATATATATATATATATACTATAGATTTTTATATATAATCAAGTAAATTACATAAAATATCATAGGCTAAACGGATGTCGAATATGTGTCTGATAATGATACATAATAACATTAGGATTTTATCGATTGTTTGAAAGGTTGTTTGCACACGTAGTATCATCATACATCCGGCCATATGTTTGTCATTCAGTTTTCTTTATTTATTTTTTTCTTTCTTTTGTATTTTTCTTTAGGTAGAAAAAGCTGGAAAACAATGTTTTTTTACTTGTTATCATAATCATGACTATTGTTGATCAGATATATTCTAATTATTTTCATAATGAGAACTTCTTTAAAAAATTTACGAAATAATAATAATCATTTAATTAAATATAATAATAATAAAGAATTATCATCAAATATATCAATAAATATCGAAGAAAATATGTCAATATTAACGAAGAATAATAAAAATTATCGAGAAAAAGAAAACAACGAAGATAGTGATGATGAAGCAGAAGAAGAAGAAGATGATGATGATGATGATGATGATGAAAATTCAAAACTTGTTTCTATTAAAATAGAACATAATCAAGAAGAAAGACAACAACAAACATCTCCAACAAAATTACGTTCTATATTACGAAAACGAACCGAGAAAAAAATGTCAACAGAAACTTGTAGTAATGTTCAACAAACATCTATCATAATAGATGAGAACGCCAATGATGATGACGAGAAAGATGATTACACAGGCGATGAGAACGAACAAGAAAGTAATGGTAGTAACAAAAGTATAGAAGAGGAAAGTAAAAACAATGAACAACAACATCATCGTTGTCGCAATATTTCTCGTCATACGCAAAGGAATCAATTTTTTCGAACATCACCATCTACGTCCCTCATATTTCCATTAGACACAACTAAAATAGAAACAAGAACAACAGCATCATCAACAACTATAGAATTTCATGAACGCGATTATTCTCCTACTCGTACTGCGTGCGTAACATTTGCTAACGATAAACCGACTCTTATTCATAGAAGTTCATCAACACCTCAACTTAGTGGATTTGATATTCAACCACGTTCATCAGTTACATATATAAATATGAGAGAAGATATGTCAACAACAATACCTATAACAACAACTGGACCATCGGCTAGTTTATCAGCGGATTTTCATCCTGTATATGTATCACCATTAAAATATCGACCATTAGTTGGCCTATCAGCAAATCAGAGTCGTTTATTACTTGAAAAACGTGTTTCATTACTTGGAAAACCTCTTGTTTTACATCCAATTCAAAGACGTTCAGCAAAATATCGACGTATTCAATTACGTATATATAATTTTTTAGAACGACCACATGGTTATAAAGCTGTTATTTATCATACAATTGTGTAAGTAATTTATTTTCTGTTTATCTCTTTTTCTTTCATCTGAATAGAAAACTAATTTCTTTTTTAAAAACAAAAAAAAAACACATATATACAAGTTTCTTTCTTCTATCATTTTCTTAATCGATAAACAATAAAAATCATTAAATAATTTCAATAAGATCGATTCGTTCAGCATCCGGCATAGGGATAACAAAAGAAAAGAGAGACAGAGAGAAGGAAAAAAAAATTTTCCAGCTCATATAGTGCTTATTTTAATTGAAAAGAATAAGACCCTAAAGACTAAAATTATAAGCATAAGTCATCGCCTATTAGAGTTCAGTAACAGATCTGCTTTTCTCTTGTTGCTTCTTTCCCTTTGGAAGCATTGAAATAAGTTTACAACATATCATGAAATATTATGAAAAAAAAAAATTGATCGATTCCATGTGATCTTTTATGATTATAAAAATAAATAAAACCTAGATTCAATTATAAACATGTGTCGATATTTCATTTATATAAATTATCAATAAAGAAGAAAAATTATAACTTTTCTTTTTTCTCTTTTGTTTTTTGTTTTTTGTCTTTGTAATTTCTACAAATTGCGTGACTTTTATATGAATAGAAATGAGTAAATATGAAGAAATCATGAGTTGTTTTCTTTTATATGTTGCAAAATTGAAAATAAATATTTAAAATGACTTCATTTATCCAAATGTGTATCCATGCAGAGATACTAATTTTGTCAGCTTGTACTTTATCGCATGCATGGTATAAATGAGAAAAAAATAGGCATCAATGAAGGAAGGACACCATCATAATTAAAAGTTACAATGTGAAAACATGTTTTTTATAAACTTTGAAATATTTTTCTAATTAATGTACGCGCATATGAATAATAAGGAAATAGAATTTTCGAATATATTTAGATGTTTTCTACAAGATCTTATCAAATATGATACAAATAAAAATTTTCATCGATTGATAATAATTACTAAACATATAATATTAGTATAAATTTTCTAAGTTTTGTTATTTTCTTGAGAATTTTTTGTATAAAATTTTTCATATTGTTTACTAAATATGATTGTCATCAATTTTTCTTTTGTCAAAAGACAAAGAATCAATCATTTATTTCTTCCCAAATGAATAATAAGATTCAATAATTGTTCTACTGACCAATATATATATTCATTTGAGAATAGTTCAATAAATCAATATTTAGAACCTAATTTTTGATGATGCTGACGACTATTATTATTGAGAATATATTTTTTGGGTCGTTTTTAATGCACGAATTATTTTTTGTTTTAAGATAATTGAATATAAATAAATCAATTTAAATATTTTATCAAACATTTGTAATATTAGAAAAAAAACAAAACATATTGAATATTAAAATAATCTTTATAAATAAATAATAATAAAAACAATTCTCAAATGCTCTATTTAAAATGCACATTGTTAAGAAAAAGTTTCCTGACATTCAAGGTGACACAGTACACGTCAGTCATTATATAATATAACACAGAAATGCATTCGAGAACAAATAAAAACCTAAGACTAGTATTGTAGTTAATGGAATATTTGATCGATTTAGTTTCATCATGTAATACAATTAAATAAAATATATATTTCTTAGAAATACAAAATAAAAATAAAATAAAATATTTTAAAATATTTAATATTATTTAATTTCTCTAGGTTTCTCACCGTTTTTCTATGTCTATTTCTTTCTGTTGTGGTTACAATGCCTGAGTACGAATCAATAGCATCAACAGTGCTATTACAAACTGTAAATATTAATTTAATAGAATAACTGTTTATTAATGATATATAATTGAGTTTTTTTTTTAATCAAGGAAATTATTGTCGTTATATGGCTTGCAACGGAATTTGCATTGCGTGTATGGAGTGCAGGTTGTCGTTCTCGTTATCAAACATTAATGGGTCGTTTACGTTTTATGAAAAAGCCATTTTGTGCTCTTGGTTTGTATTACAAAAAGAAAGAAAAAAAATAAAATAAAAATTTCTTGAATATTTTGATATAGATTTTACTGTAATTATGGCAACTGTTGTAACACTTTGTCTAAATAGTCGAGGTAGTAATGGAGTTTTTGCTGCATCAGCATTACGTGGTTTACGTTTTTTTCAAATTTTACGTATGTTAAGAATGGATCGTCGTGGTGGTACTTGGAAATTATTAGGTTCTGTTGTTTATGCTCATAGACAAGTTTGTTTTCTTTTTTTTTCTTTTTTTTTGTTATTCTAAGCACTTTACATATATGTTCTTATTTTAAGGAACTTATAACAACAATTTATATTGAATTTTTAGTACTTATTTTTTCATCATTTGTTATGTTTCTTGTTGAAAAAGATAGTATTAATGAAATAAAAGAAACATTAATTAATAATACAACAAATGTAATGACAACTAGTTCAATTACAAATTTTATTGATACAGATCGACATAAATTTGAAACATTTGCTGATGCATTATGGTGGGGTATTGTATGTATTAATCATTTTGTATTTATATCATACTTTTTTTTATTTTTCTTTTTTTTTTTGTCTTTTTTCGATAGATTACATTATGCACAGTAAGATAGTTTTAATGAATTAAATAAAAAAAAGATAAATATTTATATAGGTAGGATATGGTGATAAAGTACCATCATCATATATTGGTAAATTACTTGCTGCTATATGTTCATTTATTGGTATTAGTTTCTTTGCTCTACCAGCGGTATTTTCTTCTATATGTCGATAGTTTTCTTTTTTTTTTTTGATTTTGATAAATATTATAGGGTATTCTTGGTTCTGGTTTTGCATTAAAAGTTCAACAACAACAACGTCAAAAACATTATAAACGACGAAAGATTCCTGCAGTTTTATTAATACAAAATTTATGGCGTGTCTATGCAGCTGATGAAAAATCTCTATCAAAAGCAACTTGGAAAGTACATGTACGTCCACCACGTAAAGAACCAAATCCTTCTACAACATCACAAACAAATCCTAATCCAGTGTACGTTTTTCTTTTTCTTTTATAATTTGTTTTAAAAAAAACAATTACAACAAATATCTATTCTATTATTATTATTATTATTATTTATTTTCTTTAGTTCGTTTAGTTCATTTAGAATGCGTAATAATCAGTTTTTAAATCGAGTCAGTTTTCGACGACGTACACCAGCACGTGAAACCCCAACGATACCTCTAAATAATCCTACTAACAGAAGTAATAATCAGAATATAAAACCTTTACCAAATTCAACAGTAGCAGCAATGCGTTCTTGTATTGATACACTTTCAGAAACAGTTAGCATTACACCATCAGTATCCATGAACAATCCACAAGAAGGTTCATCATCTGGTAAATCAGTTTTTTAAATTGAAGAAAATCAAAAAAAAACAACACTTTTTTATTTTGTTTTATAAATAAAATAGATAATGAAGACGATCGTCAATATTATGCAAATGATGTTCAATCATTAAAATCAATACATCGACATGCAATTCGATTTATTCGAAAAGTTAAATATTTTGTAGCAAGACGAAAATTTCGTGAAGCTTTACGTCCATATGATGTGACTGATGTTATTGAACAATATTCAACAGGCAATGTTGATATGCTTGCTAGAATGAAATATCTTCAAGCTAGGTAAAATTTATTGAATAGAAAAATTATTTTATATAAATATTATGTCTATTTTAGATTGGATAAAGTATTGGGTATATCAAAATCAGTTGATAGTTATGAATCAGGTCCAAGTCTAGCATCGAGAATATGTAAAATTGAAAGACAGGTAACATTTCTTTTGAAAACTATATCGATGATATCTTGATTGCAGATACTTTTTGTTCGCCAGTTCACAAAAAATATCCACAAAGCTGGATCAAGAGTACCAGTGTCTTATTCACTTTGAGAGCCGAGACACGGCACCTCTTCGAAAATCGAATTCATCCTTACACAGTTTGTGGTTATTATAGCATGTATTATATGTTTTTGCTTCTTAAAATAGATATTCGTCCTCTCGACGTTTTAAATCGTCCCTTCGGAAAAAAAAAATCTGGATAAAACACTGCGAAAGAGAGAGACAAAAATGCCCTAAAAAAAACCTTACCTTTGGTATATTGATAGGAAAAAAACGCAATCTATTTTGATAACTATTAAGATTCAAAAGACCATCTAGATAATCTTGCTTTGCCTAAACCAAAATGTTTTCATTTTCTCATTGATATGGCTCTACTAGGACGTGTCGAATATTATTTAGATTGTTGTTTTTTTAACTCGAACCATTGTCGATTCTGCCTAAATTTTTGGTCATATCTCAATGAAATCAAATGAAGTTTAAAATGAGCGAGGAAATAAAGCATTTTCAATTTATATTACTAATTTATTCAATAATATTAGAAAATGTTGAATTAATTTCTGTTAAATTGAACTATCTATGCTGATCATCTTAATATATATATTTTCGCTTGCTTCCATAATGTGGAAATCTTTTTTTTCTCTCTTTCCCCTGATTCCACTTTACAGACACATTTTTTTCTTCTCCTCTAATTAAGGAAAAATGCTCGCAATCAAGAAGATACGACTATTTCCTTACATCCATTTCATTTTAAATTATACTAATAAATCTCGATATATGAATGAAAACAGAATAATAAATTGATTTTATATTATAATTTCATTTGATTCTTTTTGTCGGATTAAGATTAATCGTTTTTTTTTTCTTATTAATAAAATATTACCATATACAAATCTTATAGCAAACGTAAAAGTACAAAAAATATTCGAATATTCAAATGTATCAAAATTTATATGAAAAGAACTTTCTTGAATCACCACGACTGAGTGGCTACATTGTTTGACGCCTATCTCCAATGTATGATGTGAAAACCTCAGTACCCCATCAGCCATAGATTGATCTCAGACCAATCACTAACAGCTGTTTGTCTGGCATTCCCTATCCGATAGCATGCTGACTTCGTTGTGACATACACCTGCTCTTGGGATTAGTTAACGTATATGGAGAACGCAAGAACACTGTGTCAAACCGACCTTTTGTCAAGAGGTACAGCTAGCCATAGTTGTATGGAAGATATCAGGCTAATGAATCTGCCATTAAACAGCACGACATACCGTAAAGTAGCTGGAAAGTAGGGATTTTCTTCCTCTTTATATGTCACCTACAATTTACAGTAGAATTACATGATTTGTTTTTAAGTGGATTACTATTTGTCATACATAAAATCTCACAAAATGAATACAAAAACAAATCATTTCCTGGAAGTCATGTCTGAACTTCTATAGAATAAGTTTATGAAAAATCTAGTTTAAAATAATAATAAGATTTAATCATTTTAGCAACATTTCTAAGCCAAATAGAGATTTATTTCAGAATAAAAATTAAAATTGAAGTCGAACTTTTTGTTTCTGTTATCATTTTAAATATTTTGAAACTGACAGTTTGATTAAGAAAATTTCATCTAATCTTAGATTAAATTGAGTGAATAGCTCAATAGTAATACAAAAATAATTTGTTTGTAGAATAGGAACTGTTTTTTCTGACATCTAATTTAATACGAATTGAACACATTTCGTATTTCAAAGAAATAAACTAATAATAATAAAAAAATATTATCATACTTAGCTAAATTCTTTATTCAAAGTTCGTTTATATTTGAATTCCAAGCAAAAGCAAATCATTCATTTTACAAATTAAGAAAAAATCTAATTCCTTTGAATTTATTCTCAACAATCTAATTTTAATATGTTGGTTTTTTTTATAGGTAGATAGTCTGGATATCAAAGTAGATAGACTCTGTCAATTGACTAATAGTTTATTAGAATGTAGTGTTCGGCAGCAAGCCTCAACTCCAACTACCACGGGACCTACTACCATAAATTGTATTCGAAATGGTAATCGTTTTTCTGGCTCCCGTCGTCAACGACGACGAATTCATCCACGAACCACGATAGCGGCATCATCACAATCACCATCACAAATGCCAACTTCATCCCGAACAAATTCAATGCAACCATCTGTAAATTTATCATTATCAGCAAGAAATCCATCACATGAAAGTCTTGTTAGTCTCTATTGGCTCTTCCAAGATAATATGAATTCCTCAAGAACTCATCATGTCTAACAGGTTTTCGTTTTTCTTTTCGTTTGCTGATATTTGTGTTTATTTATCTATATACATTATAAACTATTCTATTTCGATAATATTTGTTGCTTCATGTGACCGGTGCCTTATCTGGTTGTTATAATTCCTTTCTATGTCATTCACTGTTTTTTTTAAATTGCTGATCAAAAATATAAGGAGCATAGAGCAAAATATGAATTACCATTTAAATTTCTTTTTTTTTTGTTTACTTCGTTTTTCTTGCTTGGCATGCACCAAACTCGAGCGTTCAGATTGTGATCATTTACAGTCAATTAATAAAACAGGAAGTAGAAATAAACCAAACGAGAAAGCTTCAAGCTTAACAGTGGTAGACATGCACGCATTGAAATAACAGATCCAAAAACCGGAAGTCTGCAAATATACTAAAAAAAGTCAACAATGTTAAGACATACTCGAATCTGAAGTTAATCGAACCTTAGGATGCTTTCATAATTGCTCATATAGTGATAGTCCTAAGTTTACAACAGTTGTATTTTTGAGTTTTCTACTCAATGATAATTGCTAGCAGGAATCTAAAAAACATACTTGTATGCTTGGAAGAATTCTCTATTAGGGTTAGAAGGTCCGAAGACTTCAGCAAAACTGCTTGAGTGGGGATCTGCAGAAAATTAAGATCCCTCTCCCCCAAAACAGCCAACTTTCTGGCTTCCATTCAAAGGTTTCGGGAAAAGATTTTATTTGATAGAGCGAATGATTCTGAGCAAAACGACATGTCTTTGACCTCTCGATGACAGTCCTTCATCGAATTGCATTCAATTTGCAGAAAGCCCCAAAGCGTCAAATATGGCAAAAACATTGAAATTTTCAGTAAAAAAAGGAGAAAAATGCCTCTTGAATCTTTTGTATATTCAATGCAGTTCAATGAAGGAAGATCATGGAGAGATCGAAGACGTATCATTTTGCTCAGAATCATTTGCTCTATCAAATAGAATTTTTTTCCCAAAAGCTTCGAAAGGAAACCAGAAAACAGGTTTTGGAAGTCATGAGTGTCTACAGACCTTCACTCAAGCAGCTTTGTTGAAGTCTTCGAGTCTACCAATCTTAATAGAGAATGCTTTTTGCTACACAAATGTTTTTTTTTCAGATTCTGACTAGCTATTACCATCGAGAAGAAAGCTTAAAAATACAACTACTCTAAACTATTGTCCACCACAATATACGTCAAGAAATACTTGGGTCAATATCCGACACTGTCTGAACTAGTTGGATAGTTTTCGAATACCGAGCTAAAATTCGAACTCAGTGCATGTCTAATTGTTGTTCCTGTTCGATCGAGATCATTGGCAGTAACTTGAACATAGCAAATATCTTTTCGATTTCATTTATTGAAAATTAAAAGAAAAAAAAAATAAGATGATAACAAACAAATTCTAATTTGTTTTAGAAAAAATATATATATATGTGAATTATACATGTCTAAAGAATGCCAATGATTCGTTGAGCTTTTGTTTTTTTACAATGACAATGTGAACAAGGTTTTTTTTGTTGCTGAATTAAAACAATATGATCAATATGAATTTGATATTGATGATTATTTGGACGATGTTGTCGGCGTTTTTTATGAATTTTATGATGAACAGTCATTTTTGAACGTGGAGAAGATACAACAGGAATTGTTTGTTGTTCAATTCGATCTATCGAACGAGGATTTGGAGTTGAAGCACGAGGAAATATTTTATTGTTTGATGTTTGTGGAGTACTCGTACCATGATAAACAGTATTAATCGATGAACGAAAACGTTTGTAACCTTGAGATTGTGCCATTAAAATATTATCTGAATAAGAAAAAGGGAAAAGAAAACAATACTACTCAAATAAATCAATATTCTGTTCCGAGACATTAAATAAAGAAAAGTACTTTGTAATCTGATAAATAAAAGATATATTCTCTTTCAATATACTAACTCAATTTGAAAAAAGTATCAGTTAACGTTGTCTAAGATTAACTTTAATCAGTAGAAAATCAACTTGACTAACAACATTCAATGAACTTGATAGAATATTCCAGTCTTTTTATTCAGATTTTCTCTTCCAATGAGGTGATTTAAAACTCCGGAAGAACCAACTCGATTTTCGAAGAGGCATCAGTCCCTCGGTCCTCACACTAAACATTGGAATATTTGGATACTAACATATAGAACAGAGTCTGTAAAAATATACAAGAGATAACTTGTTGTCCAAATAACATAAAGTAAACCAATTGTGAAAAAAAAACCGTTTAACATACAAACATTGAACTTACGTAATAATATATATAAAATGTACTGATGATTTAAGAGAACTAAAACTAGTTTAGAGACAAAATCATCCATAATTTTATCAAAGAAAATATATCAATATACCAAATCGACTTACTTTTTGTTGCTTTTTTACAATGAAGAAGGCGTGTCGATCAAATTGAGCGTATGATGATGTGTCGATATCACTGAATAGTGCGACTCAACTATCTAATTGAGATTGACACTTCTCTCTTTGTATAATTTTTTTTCGCTTTCTCTCTCTCTCTCTCTCTCTCTCTCTCTCTTCCCCTCTCTATTTTCTCATGTCTGTCTATTCAATCTTCTCTTTCTTCCGTAAATTAATTATGCAATCAAATGAGCAATGTCTATAATATGCGAAGTACCACGTGTCCGGGTGTTATTACATACATAAATTTCAAAAAATATATATAGTCGCCGGTGCTAGTCAAGTGTTTCGAACTGTTTGACGGAAGTCCCAGGCGATATAGTGAAATTGAAATGTGTCACTCTTGACCTAGAGAAAATAGCATGGAAAAAAAGATAATATTTAAATGAGCAAATATTAAGAATGCAGTTATGTATATGAAAGGATAACAATTAAAATAAAAAACAAGAGCAACACTATTTCGTTGTTATGATGATGCAATCAGAAAGAGCAGCTGTAATAATGTCTCAAACTTATCAACAATAGCATAAATATGTTCAGTATGAATATGTGACAGCTTTTTTTTTTCTTCTTCGTATTGTTGAATAAACCTGAAAGTGATGAAGCTGAGAGAAGGAATAATGATGAATATCAAATAGTTTCGACAAAAAAAAACGATGTAATAACTTTGATGTACTTCATTTTTAAATAGGTGTGAACAACGTGTTCACTATGAGAACGAATATTATTATGATGTAATTAAATTGACAATCAAATAATTTTTTTTACGAAAGATCAAACTCAAGTTTATTTAAACATGTGAATAAATTCATCTGAAAACTAAATAAAATATTTTACGTTTGTTTTAAAAGCAAATTTTTAAAATTTAAAAAATCTAAACTAAAGAAATATTTTTATTCTTGAATGAATTGTATATAATGCAAAGAAAAAATATTTACAGATGACTATATCTGAAGATTTTTGTTTCTGTTTTGATATTGACACCAGATCAAAATAGACTGTATATACAGAACTGGTTAGAGGCAGACAACATTTACAGGGATCGTGATTTTTTCGAAGGGTGTAAAGATTTTTTTTGTCAAAAATCCTTCCGCTTCGTTGCTAAATTATGATTAACGAAGAAGATTAGTTAAAAAATAATACTTTGATATGATAAAGAATTATTTGTTTGTAATTAAACTACAGAATCAAGAATTAGACAGTATTACAATCTACTACAATTTTTTGAATAATAGTGTTTTCTCACAGTTCGACCGTCTTTCTATTATAGAGTGATCATTATAGAATCAATATAATAAATATGCTCGGTATCATCCGATACATATGAAAGATTACAGAATTCGTATGATCAATGGCAATATGAACAAAAAGATTGTACGACATATACTACAGAATGATACAAAGTGAACATCATACAATAGATAAGAGTAAACAAAGTAATAGCATAACCAGGAGATCGTGAATGACAGGACAAATTCCGACGATCTCGAGAGAAACTCATGCAATATATTGTCAATAATGTTAATTATTTCATTTTTATTTCTTCTGTTGGTAGAACAGCGTTCGGTCTAGAACATCCTTGGTTACACTACTAAAACAAAGTGGAAAACATACTCGAGTGTCGTTCGATATATGATGATACAATCACTAAAGAGTATCATCAGTAGGTATTATTGGTCAAAGTTAATTGCTACTGAAGCTTTTGGATTAAGCATAAAGGACGAACTGGGTGTCACCCTACGGGTTGGGCCATCTCTGTTCATACTTATCAAATAAATATCATTGTGAAATCAATTTGTCTTCTAATAGTTATCGAAGTATTTTTCAAAATAACTATTCGCTTGATATAATCATGAGTAGGAGAAAATTCATTATCTTGTCAATATGAGTGAAAATATTTTATATACATCTTCACTGATTTTGTCTTTTATAAGAATGTAAAGATTCTTTCCGATTACATTCAATCATCAGCTGATTGTTTGCATTGGATGTTATCAAATGCAATCAATGACTAGATAATAAAAAAAAAATTTTTTCATATTCATGCTAATCAACAAAAGAATAATATTGATTTGATTATAACACTTCAATGAACAATTTAACCAAAAAAAAAAAAAGAAACACACGCAATCAATGCCTAGCTCTCCTTATTTTAAGAATAACAGTGGAGTTTTTTTTTCAATGAAACACAACTTTTAAAAATGGTCTTGTAAATCAATAGTCGTTGATCATATATGTTACATTATACATGTAATTGTACGAGTAGAAGAAAAACAACAGAAAGATGTTCATTCTTGTTCTTGGTGAGAATTTTTTCGTTCTCTTCTCGTGACTTTGTTGTAACCATTTTTTTTGTGGTACGTAAAGGTAGACAACATCAATTGGTTTCCTTTTTCTTTCTTTCTTTCTTTTTCTATCGGTTATTGTTGCGTCCTTCTTTAGAGTAAACTATGCCGCGTCATTCTTCGTTGTCATGGTAGATTGTTCTGTTGTGTCAATCTCTTCACTCTTTCTTTCATTCGCTTTCAAATAAAAATGAAATGAAAACACATAAAACGTTTTTCTTTTTTTTGTAGTAGTAACGGATACCTTTTTTTTGTCTTTTGCTTTATATATGTATATATATATATAATTTTCTTTTTTCTAGACACACTTATCTATTCTAAAAACTTTATAGAAACTCTAATCATGACACGTATGGCGTTTGATACACGCACACAGAATGCGTGGAAAGAATTAATTGAAAAAGAAGCAATGACTCGTGTCTCTTGGCATCAAACATTTAAACCAAATCCAAATGATGATGAATGGTTTAAGCGTGCATTTTATACACAAGCTACAGCGAAACCAATTGGTCGTTCTTTACCGACAATTGTTTTTCCTCCACGACCTAAACCACGTTATGATCCAAATGATACATTAGATGAATTAGCAAAAAAACTTGATATAGAACACAATCCAAATGCATTAAAAGAAATGTATCCGGTTACAAAAGAATATAAAGATGTTTTATTTGATGGTTTTTCAAAAGAAGAAAAAGGTCGTTATAAATATTTAAATTTACGTAAACAAGTTCAACCTGAACATAAATTTCAATATCCTGTATCAAATACAATGGAATATGGATGGAAATTAGGTGAAACTGGTCAACAATTTAAAGCACCTACATATGCTCGAGGAAAAATTGTTGAAGAATCATTTTATCGTCGTAATGGTGTTTTTGAATAAATCGTTTTTTTTTTTGTCTTTGTTTGCTTAACTATTTTTATTTTTTTCTTTTCAACAAGTACTACTCTGTTTATTGTATAGAAAAAATTTCTATCGGTTTACCACAACAAAAATTTTGTAAACATATTTTTGTTTCTCATATGAAATCAAAACAATAACTTGAATTAACCTTATTTCTTAAGCCTTATATTGCAATGTATTGCATGTCAAACCTTATAATAATAAAAGAATGATTAAAAACGAAGGATGTATAATTATTGTTGTTATGTTATGCTTTGATGTTTCGTTAACAATACCAGTTGATAATATAAATCATGTTTCATGGTCGTAATATTTTCTTTCATTTCTATTACTGCCAATAAAAATATGATCAAATATCTTCAATCTAAATCGATATCACAATTGCAGGTCAATTGTATGAAATGTGATATATTCGATGCTTGTATTCAAGATCTCATTAAACGGAATGAAAAACATAGTCAGGTAAAATAAATTCCTTCGAGCAAAAAAACATCACATGTATTTGTCAAAATTAAAAGAAGATGAAAAACTATAAAGAAAAACATCTAAAGAAGTTTGCTAGAATAAAAACAATCGTTTATTATTTAAGTAAAATAATCAATTTAAATCAGTCACTTACAATTATTTTGGAAGATGAACGAAGTAATGAAACAATAGATGATACTGAATTATGATTTATTCGTTGTAAATTTTAAATAAAGAAGTGCCTGAAGAATGTGTTATTCACTAGCAAAAGAATTCTGAATAGAGATGTGCGTGATCAAAATTTAAAGATTTGCCGGAACTGTACCGAGACTATGTAAAAAAACCTTGCCGGAAACGGAGTCGAGACTACGGGAAATAAAGTTGTTCCAATCGGAACTAAAGATTATAGTTAAATATCCAACGTCTTTGAACGAGTTATGGTATACATCATACTAATCAGAACGTAATCCAAGAGATATGTCTCAAAAAAGTGCTTGTCGTTGACTAGATAAATAAAAAAAAGAAGTATTGAAGAATTTTTTAAAGTGTGATATAAATAAATACTTGAATGGTTTTCTCTCGACGAAACCAGATTGAATTTGTCGACGCCATAGCGGGGATTACACCAGATTTACGGGTATTATGAATGGAACCTGTGGAAAAAGAAAGATACTGGGACCAAAAAAAAACTTGGCTTCACACATCTCTAGTAAAGTTTTATGAAAGGAATTACATATATGTTACCATAATTCCTTGAAAAATATTTACATATTATGCTTAATAGTGATTTAATTGTACCAATTTTTAATAAGTCTGATTAATGATGATATAAAGAACATAATGAAAAATTTATATTATATGTTATGCTTGTTATTATGATTATTTCATTGCTAATATGTACAAAATCGATCGTCAATCGAGCATTATATGCTTTCTTTCTCTCTCTTCTCATTTGGGATTATTATACAATAACAATTCATGAATCCGTATTTGTTGTAAGTAGTTCAGGATATACAACTATGACAGCATTCACATTACTGTATACTAATAGTATATGCATGTATTTTGTTTTCGACTATCAAATAATTGTATAAATGAATTAGTTCGTCAATAATATAATATCTTTAGATTATATATTACTTATGTTTAAGATCTTTTATATTACTATGAACGAGACCTTCGATAAGAGTTACCAGCTTGAGAGTATTCAGATGACTTACAAATAACAATAGAAGATTTCCAATCATGGACGTTATGTGTTCTTATTTTTTTTTGTAAAACACGATCTAACAGGAGTGTTGAAGTATATAAGGTGGAAATTCGGATCCATTCTTCCTCTCCTACCGATAGTGACAGATACTAATCAGAGATTATCATAGACTATATGAATAACAGCTCGTAACAACATATTAACTACTTTCTTATTGCATTTCTGGAAGATTAAGTAAAAGAATGGTGAAGAGATATGTTCCAAAATGTATAGAATAAAATAATCTTCTTCTGATAAGCAACAACAGTGTTCTACATATTAACCTCGTAGGTAGAGCCCATCGAATTCAAGAATTTTTGCACCCGAACCTGATAGGCTCTATCCACAGGGATTGTGGTAACAGCCTTCTACTACCATTTAATGTTTTTGTGTATCAATGATTAAAATTTCTTTCTCTAATCTTTCAGATACATTTTCTTAGTAACAATTATTATAATTGTTCGACATAAAACTTGTAAATGTATACTCAATATTCAATGGATACGTCATCGTTATAAAAATTTCAAAATATTATATTTTTCTTTATTTAATTCTGATTTCAAAACACAAAATGATATCACCGAGTGTATGTAACGTAGTGAAAAAAGACTATGACACCCAAAAAAAAAGAACCAAAAAAAAAACAAAGTATGTTTAATGCATTTAAAAAAGAAAAAGTTATAATCGTTGTACATTTCGATTAGTTGCAGTGGATTGATAATCTCCAGATGTGTCTACATAAAAAGAGTTTTCAATTGGACGTTGTGCTAATGTTGCAGTCATGTACTGTTGTACATAATCACGAATTGATACAAATAAATTTTCATATTGATCCTGAATAATAAATGAACAGTAAGATTTTTATTTATATAATTATTAATAAAGAAAAAAACAACACTTACTTGATCAATAAATTGTGGTCGAGTAGAACGAAGGAGACGGACAATTTTAAATGGATCAACAATTTGTTCTGTTAACATTTTATCAATGGAATTACATAGAGCAGCAAAATAACCAGACCATGTTGCACCATTTCTTAATAGAATTTTATTTTGTTAATTGAAAAAAAACATGAAGAAAAGATTTTTAAAACAAACAAAATTAGTTTAACTTACAAACATTGAAGAATAACATTTTGTCCATTAAATGTACGCATTTCTTTTAAAAACCGTTTTACAACAAATAATAAATGTAAATTATCTTTTATTTGAAATTGACGTATTGTTCTTATTCGATCAGTAGTAGACTAATATTTAAAACATATTAAAACTAATAAAGAAAATAATCTATATGAAAAATACATACAAATGCATTTTTATTTATATATTTCACATCAAAAACTCGTTCAATTAATTGATCATCTTCTTTTTGTGAAATCATAACTATTTCAAATGGTCCATAAGGTATTACTTGTCCGATACCTGTAGGCCAATAATAAATAGTTTTCTAAATAATATTTTGAATTAAATATAGAACTATTAACCAATCAATATCTCTTACTGAATCACGCAATATAGATTCCAATAACATTATTATTGATACATTATGATCATAGACAAGACGCCAAAAATCAATGCATGTATGAGGTAATGGATATTGTGTAACAATATAATTGGGTGTTTGTCGATAAGACTATAAATAAAATAAAAATAAATATTCGAATTAAATTGAAAAAAAAAATCGAATAGATTCATCTCATTTTATTCTCTTTTACAGACTTGATTAATATATAATGAGAAAATTATTTTTTTCTTTTGAATATAATTAGAAATATTTAAAGTGAATCAATTTCTTCATTATCACCATTCTTATTGAACATCTATTACGCAAAAAGAACTTCGAAAATAAAATCTTGCATATCAACTGAAATAAACAATGATTTGTATCAAACTTGTATGTCAACAAGTTTAATCTTTTTTCCGCTTAACTGTTCTTTTTTTGTGTTATGAGGTGACCTAAAAATATGATATGAGTAAGCCACACCTTGGACATTTTTATTTTTAGCAAAAAAGCAATAAGACGTTAGGAAACAAATCACATTAAACGAATATTAACACGAGTACTGCTTATCAGAAAAAAGTTCTCGATCAAACACTTGCTCTTTAGTTTAATACATGGACTAAGTCTCTATTACTGTGGTTCAAGGACCTAGAACATAGTTTTTACCGCTAAGTTTTTGTTTTGCTTCACTATTTTTCTGTTGTAAACGATATGAAATTACTAACCGAGACATTCCATCATTTTAATGTTCGCAAAAAAAAATCGATATACTTTTAGAACATAGTCACTTTCAGATAAAAAATACCAAAAAAAAATGGATAATTTTTCCAAGATTTTAATTATCAAAAGTTGTTTTTTTATGAAAAAAGAAAATGATATGCTGAACCAGCATGCAATGTTTGGTTTGATGATTTCATAATGCCACACTATCACCCACAGCAAAAAATAGTTATACAAGGAAAAAAACCCGTTAACGAAGAGGTAAAGCCCACTGAAATAGCATCATTTTTCTTCTTATAAAAAATATATAAAACATGTTAAGCCATTATATCAAACCCTTCACTCATGCTTTAAGTGCTTCAATTGATAAACATGAAGCTTTACAAAACACAGAAAGTAAATGATGAATTAAATATAATACACGTATATGCATCTTTATTACAAGGATATGTGCAAAATTTGTATAAAAATTACATTGAAATAATAGAAACCTATAAATTTCATAGGATAAATTTGCTTTGTCGATATTTGAAAGAAATTTTGTCTGGTTCTAATTTTAGAAAATTTATTTTTACTAAATTACAAATAAATACGATCAGAAAAATACATAGCACTTTAACTATGATTTTATATTCTAATATAGATTATTCGGAATAAAACGAAGAATTTCTTCTTTTTTTCTTGAAAACTATTTATCGAAAAATTTCTAATTAAATTAATTCTAATAACTTAAATAATCATACTTAAGTTACAAATATGATATCATTGAAATTTTCACTCGTATTATCTTCTAATTTATAGAAAATTCATTAGTTCATATTATGATATCCTTAAGAAGCTTTAAATCAAAATGCTAATCAATTTTATTCATTGGCGAATATGAAATTAAGATTTTTCTACTAAAAAAAAGAAAAGAAAACAAACTATTTACATTAACAAATACAGCATTGATATAATCAGTTCCTTTATCAACTTGTGTCATTAGATATGGTCGACTATTATCAGCTGAAAATAAAAACATATTTGTTTTTTTTTATAAATATTATTTAAATAAATAAATACTATAACGTACGAGCAAGAATTGTTTCAACTCGATTTTTATTTATATTAGCTGGATCAAGTGCACCTTGATATGAAAATTCAATAGTTGACTGTAATTGTTCCAAAAGCTATTAATGAAAATAAGAAAACATTTCTTTTTCTTTTTCACTTTTATATATTCTTACTTTATATTGACTTTTAGCATCCATATGTAATTTTCTTATCATCATAAATTCTTGTAATGATATACTTGCATCCATAGTTAAAATTCCTTCAATTAATGTACGATAAAGAAATACATATTGATCAACTGTTTGTATCATATATACTCGATTTTCTCTAGAGATTTTAAAAAAAAAAAGAAAGATATCATATGAAAATTTTATTTTGTTGAAGAATTTTTACCTCATTCGATGAGTAAATTCAAGTATATCAATAGTATCTTGATATTTAGCTCTTTCTAATAAGGCATCTAGAGCAATAAATGTACCTGATCGACCAACACCAGCACTAGAAAGAATAATTTCTAATAAGTACAATTAAATAATAAAAATTCAACCTGCAATGAACAAGTATTGGATTTGGTGGTTTATAATCAGCACGAAAACGCTGTCGAAAATCTAATAAAGGTGTAGATAAAGCTAAAGAACCATGATCTAAAATATATATTCATATTTGATATTGAAGAATACGACATCAATTAATATTACCTGGCCATGATAAAAAATGATACTGTTTAACTAGTAACACATCTGAAGGCTAAAATAAATAAATAGAAATATGTTTTGTTTTTTTTTTTTATTATTGAAATTATTTAATCAATTATTCTCATCTTATTTCAAAAACAAAAACTTCTAATAGATAAATGAAATAATGTCTATGTTAATCTCCGACAAAGGTTAATCTATTTGTTTGATTAAATGAATTATGTTTATACAATGAAAACAATAAATTGTAAATATGGATTAATTTATTTTCAATTAGTAAAGATTAAATACCTCTGATTGATTATATATAATTAATTTACGTATTGTATAATCAGCATATTTTTCTTCATTATCAATACGAATTTTAAAATCATTAACACGTTTTTCACCTTCATCTGGCCAATATTGAATACATTTATGCTACGGTAATAGAATAAAATAATATCTAGACATAAAATAAAATATTTGTTTTTTACTTTTCCATCTTCAAATAGACGAGTAACCATAATAATTGATTGTATACGTAATTGCCAAATCATACGAATAAAATCATATAACGTTGTATCAGTTGGTGCTAGAAAAATTCAATTTATATTTAATTAATTATTATATCTTCAACCGAAATCTGTATTGCTTCGGAATATATTAAAAAGATGTTCTTTTTAAGGGCACTCGATTGTTAGAAGGGATTAAAAATTTGACAGACAATTGAAGAAGAATATAGAACCGATTTGAAAGTTGACTATGTCAAAGATTACTATCCATAGATGAAATAGTACAATAATTCATCACTCCAGTATCGGTATAGATTTTAGATCGACTAGTAATCGTTTCCATCTCTGCTCGGAGGCAATCTGTTTAGTAGAAAGTGACTGAGAAAAACTACCTTTTGAAATTTGGTAAACAATTTTTCAGCAAGACTTTGAAATTTTCACAAATGCGAAGTAAAAATGGATAGATGCTAGCCCACATCATTCCCTCCCATATTGAGATCTATGGTCCTTTTATAATTAAAATGAGGGTCACAGATGATGATAAATGAATTAGATAGCAAACAAACCTTGAGCAGCTATGTATAATTTGCTTGCTCGATATCCATCTATATAGGATGCATTGATATAATCACTTGATGGATCATTTGGTAAAGGTTTAAGTACAACTCGAGAATGATCATCTAAATAATATTCTATGTTTATTATTGTGAATTATGAAATTTTGTATACAAACATGGTTCAATATGATTGAATCGATTTTTTAATTTATTTTCTGGTCGAAATGCAAATGTTTTAGGATGAAGAGGTTCTGTAGGTAATTTCTAATGAATAAAAAACAAAAACAAATAAAATTACAATTTCGAAATAATATTTCAATTAATTTACTTCATATTCATCACGAATACGTTGTTCAGGAAATGTTTTTGAAATAAGCCATGTTCGTAATTCATTTAATTTTATTGAATTTTGTAAAAGATTATCATTATTATTATTAATAACACCATCGGGAACTGTTCGATCTATTAAATAAAAATTTTTAAATTAATTTAAGATAAAATCTAGGTATCAAAAAAAAACAATTCAAAAAACAGAATGTTTACAATATAGATATTGATTGAATCATTTATAATGACCTTCAAATAATTCATTTTCAAAAGTTATCTTATCAAATTTTGTAGATTTTACAATAAAAATTAAAAGAAATTTTTTAATTAAAATCAAGGTTTTTTTTTCTTATGTTCATAATTGATTTCATATTTGAATAAAAAAAAACGAAAATATTTAATTATTTCTTTAGTTTTCATTTCTAACAATAAAACAGGTACAAAGTATCATTTGTCAGATAAAGAAAGACCAGTGTTCGCATATCATCCATTCTTATCTCTGATGTTAAAATGTCCTTATGACGTAAATATCTCTTGTTGGAAATTGATATAAAAAAAAAACGAACATCTATTACATTTTCTGTGAACTATCTTACTTGTTTCATGTGTTGACAATTCATTAAATTGTAATGTTGGAACTTTAATTGATGAATTTTCTTTACTTCGTTTATTTGATACAATAATTTTTTTAAATCTTTTCCATAATGGAATTTTATTTGTTGATGATGGTAATGATAAATTATATGGGTCATCTGATAAATTTATTGTTGGACGTGTTAATATTGGTACAATTGTTGTTGCTGCTCGAGTTCTAACTGATGTTGATGATTGTGGTGATTCAGATGATTGTTTTTGTTGATATTTTATTTCATTTTCATCATTATTTATTTTTGTCATTGGTGGAAGTGGTAATGGAGCTGAAGGTTGATAAAGTTCACCATGTGATTTAGCATGTTGTAATTTTTTTGTTACATGTCGAAATGAATATGTTGATGTTTCTTCATCATTTGTTGTTTGTTGTTGTTGTTGATAATGATGATTTTTTTCTTGTTGATCATTAAGAGAAGGATTAGAAATATATTGTTGTACTGATGATGTATTCATCGGTGATTGAATACGTTCAGATCGACGATTATTAAGTGGTTGATAATGCTGTTTATCATCGGGTAATGACACTGCTATACTACTACGTCGACTATTATTATTATTATTATTATTATTATTAAGCTTTATTTAAATAAATGTTTAAATATAGAAAAACAATAAGATAGAAATAAATACTACGACTCACTTGATAATTGTCACTCGTACGATTTGACAATGGTCGACGAGTATAGCTTTTATTTTGTTGTATTGTCAATCGTTCGCTTTCTCTTATTTTTCCGTTGTCTCCATTTTTTCCCTCCATGCTATATATGGATTAGTTCTTTTGTCTTGACATATACATACAAAAATACAATCGAGCAATAGAAAAAGTCAAATCGGACAAAAGTTCAATCTTGTCGTTGTTCTTTGTCTTCAAACGACAACAAATAGAAAAACATAGTTCTCGTTCTCTCTATATTATGAAACTGACGCACCACCTATAAGAAGAAAAAAAAAGAGCGAGAGAAGGCAGTCGAAAAAAAAACACAGAACTGATACAGAACGAAAATGGATGCAGAATGGAAGAAAGAAGAAAAAAAAAACAACAACTCAGAATGAGTTATACTCTTAATAGTCAACTGATGTTAGTTGAAGTAATGTATTCATTATTTTGCAATCAATATCCAAATGGTAACTGAAAGAAATACTAAATTCAATAAGATGGATTTTCAATTGAAATATTGTTCTGACATTTTCTTTCTTTTTTTTAAAGTATCATCATAAATAAATAAATATATGTAAGTACATATGTATGCATCTCAAATTACCTTTTTTTTTTTCTTTCATAATCTCTGGATTTATGTATAAAATAAAACAAAAAGAAAAGAAAAGAACATAAGAGAAAAAAAAAGGAACAGTCAATATTCGTCGAATAATACTAGTTAAGAAACATCCATTGGTTTAACAGTTGTTGTATTTGTTTCAGCCATAGGAATATCATCATCGTCATTCGTTGCTGCATTGATTTTAGCTTCAACTAATGCCATCGTTTTTTGGCACCAATCGGGATGAACAGCTTGAATTTTATCAAGTACTTGATTAACTTGCACACAAAATGATTCAATACGACGATCCCATTGAGCAAGTTGTTCACTAGCTATAAAAAAACACATCATTTTTTTTTTGGTTTCGTTAAAATTATTTTTATTTAACCTTGAAAATGAAGAACAGATTCAATTTGATCAACGAAACCACTTAGACGTCCTTCAGAAATCATTTGTGATGCAATTTTTTCTGACTAAAATTAAAAGAATTTATTTTGAAAATTCTAATTTAATTGATTTTACTTTTTCACTTGGAATTCCTAGAAGACCACCTAATTCAGCAAATGTTATATTTGTGTATATTTTGCTTACTGCAACAAGATTATGTTCGATAACAGCTCGTTGAAGAATTGTATAACCTATAAAAGACAAAAGAAACCAGTCGTTGATCAACAAGTCTTTATAGAATAATTTTACCATCAGGTGTTGTTGCTTTTTGATGTTCAGTTAGAAGACTTTCAAATTGTTTTGCATCATGTGGACTTATAATTCGATCTAAATACCTAAAAATATTTTCAAGAATGTTATGTATGCACAAAAAAGAAAAACATATTCTCTATACATTTTATTTAACATTGAATAAGCAGGTGATCGTTGAGATCGTTCATCTTTAAATAATGTGCCTAACATTCTCGATCGATGAGGACCAGCTGGTGCCAATATAGCACAAATTAATGCATTATCTAAAGCTTTCATACGTTCTTCACCACTAACAATTGATTTAAGTGATAACTCATTGTAACGTTGTGCAGCTTCGACAAATTTTCGTTTATAATCAAGAATACGAGCATAACATGCCTGAATGAAAAAAAAATAAATAAAAACGAAAATATTTGTTTGTATTTTTTTTGTGTCATGATTATTTATCAAATAAAAAATCAAAATTTCGAAAGATTATGTAAGAATTATTCTTTTTATTGTATTTAATTATTTGTACTGATGCTTATTTCAAAGAAAATGAAATAAGAGTCGATATTGAATCAATTACGGGAAAAGCTGATTCAGTTCCTGATTATAACACTGATATCGTTAAATTTGAGCCAAGTTATTTCATTGTAGAGATGTAGAATAGTTTAAAAATGACTCATTCATCTTGAAGAATGATATCAAAATTAGATTTTTTTTTCCGTAGTTATGTTGTTATTTGATACGTATCATGAATTCTTTTTTTTTTTTAAAAATGAGTCATTTCAGAGGATTATATATGATTAGACACTTACAAATGTGACTATTTTTGAATTCATTCGTTTTAATTCCGATTTGAACTCATCTCATTGCAGGTTTCTATCTTTTATCAATAAGAAATTAATTAAAAAACAGCCATGAAATGCTTTTTGACTGATTATTAATTCTAAAAAAAAAACTTGTAGCATAAGGTTCGTGTTATCTATGAGTTTACGTCCGAAGTAAGATAATTTTAGAAAAACGATTTGTTCTGTTTACTTAAAATATTTCGTCATATTTTGTTAAATATTTGAAATTCATCCACGGAAGCCGATACGTCCTTGTATACGAAAAATTCCTTGTTATCAAAATCCTATCAGACATGATAAATTTTTCTCAATCAAATCAAAAAATCCTTTTTTCTTTAATAGATTTCTTCAAAAAAAAGAATTTCATACTCGATAAAGAATTTGTAATTCTTCATCTCGTGTTTCATTTTGTAAGAGTGATGCTCGATTGATAAAAACTTCTGCTTGAACTGGATCATCATCTTCAAGATAAAGTCGTGCAATACGTAAATAAGTTTTTAATTTATAATCCGATGATAAAGGTCTAATAATAATTATCAAAAATATTCAAATAAAAAAAAAACCAATAAAAAGCTTCTAAATACTTTTGAGCTGATTCTAATGGTGCACCACAAAGAACTTTAGCTGCTTCACGCCAATTTTCTTCACGTTCATAAATATCAGCAAGAAAATTTCTATAAAGTCCAACTTGATCTTCAAATGATATAGCTCGAGCAGCAATACGTTCAAGTGCATATAATGCAAGTTCTTTTGCTTGTTCAGGTGATGATTGAGTTAGATGAGTTAAATATGATGTACATAAATCTGTTAATAATTGACGTGATGCAACAAGAACAATTTTATCATCCACAACTAAATACAAAAGCAATAATATAAAATGAAATATTTATATAAATACAAACCAGCATCCAGAAATTTTTTTAAATTATCCATTATTTGTGTTTGTTTTGGATCTTTGATAATTTCATCGAGAATTGATTTGAATCTAAAGAGAAAAATAAAATAATGATTACATTTAATAGTAAAATCTCAAAAAAAGAAAAGAAAATTTGTCAAATAATTTTTCGCTTATTAAGAGTAGTAAAATATAAATCGTTAAACAAACATAATTTAGTATTTATCATAAATAATTACACATCATCTATTTGATAAAGAACAAAATATAAAATTTTGAATTACAATTATAGATCTCAAGCAAAATCGAAGCATATAATTATGATTTTATATGAAAAGAAAATATAAATATAATCATAAATCGTTCTACTTTCTTCAAAAACGTTTAACATTATCAAGAATTTCAATATTAATCAATAATTATCATTTATAGATATTTCAAAGTGAAATGTAATAGTTTGAAAAAAAGAAAATCGGTTTCTTTTTCCAAAGTCAACTGATATTTAATTTAAGATTTATTAAACTATTGAAAATGAAATGACTCACTTGTCAACAAGTTCTTTATGCGAAAGACCTTTATTGACTGCTTGTTGAAGTTGTTCAGATATATTAGCCATAAAATATCTGAAATAAAACATGATAACTTGTTTATTTTGTTTTTAACAATAAAATTAGAAAGAAAAACAAAAAAAAAAAAAAGAAGATATATTATTCATTTGATCCATCAAAAGCAACATTAGCTTCGGGTTCAACATAAAAAATTCCTTCATTAATATAACGTCTAAACTTTAAATAATTAACATTTCCAATTGCTAATTTTGCTTCTTCACCATTTTCACAAATCGATTGAATTATAGAAAATTTTACTTCTTTTCCTTCTTTATCTTTTTCTGTTGAACGATTAAGAAGAAATTCAATAAAACCCGGTTCAGCATTCATAGCATGTAATGCCCATGGTGATCGTGTTAATTCAAATAAACATCGATAAGCAGCAAGACGTAAATCAATAAATGGTTGTTTAGCTATTTGAATAATAATTGGTAAAATAGAAAATCCTCGATTACATAAACGATAAATTTGTTCTGTAAGAGTCCAAGCATTTGATGATGAACTATTATATTTTGATATATGAAATAAATCAGCAAGACAAATAAGACAACGAATACTAAAATAAGAAAAGAATAATAATAAAATTTCTTTGTTATTATTTTTTCGAAAGTTTTACCGAATATCAGATTGAGATGAATGTATCATTTGAACTAATTTTCCAATAAAATCACTGAATTTAATATTTGAAAGAATATATTCTTTTCCATTCAATGTTTTACCAATAAATCCAATTGTATCTAGACAATTAAGAAAATTTTTCAAAAATAAATATTTAAATAATCTCGAATTTTGAGAAAAAAAAATGTATTCATTATTCTATCTCGATGAGTTCTTAAAAATACTCAGAACAGTCGAATGAACGAAGAGAAAAATTGTAAAGATATTTTATTTCTACCTGAAGTTAGTCGCTATGATCTTGATTTTTCGATCTAGTTATTTCTCAAAATTATCAATAATATTTTTGATTGATGAAATCGATTTGACCTTACCTAATCCGATAATAATATAAGGATTTGGATCAGATTGAAGAAGAATATCAAAAAGAATAGGTAAAAATCGTTTGATTAATTGATTTTGTTGATTATTTGATATATTTTTTTCAAGTAAAACAAGATAATTACGTAAATAACAACCAAAAAATTTAATTAAACCTGGTTTAATTAAATCATATAAATTATTTTCATCATTTGTTGATAATAATAAATGTAAATAATGATCAATAACATTTGTTTTATTTTGTAAATAATTCAATGTATGAGATTTTTGTGTTAATACAGTTAATAATTCTAAACAATTCATTAAATATAATATATCTGTATCACTATGTGTACAATCATATAAAAATTGATCCAATAAATGTTGTTCTTCTGTAATATGTTCATAAATACGTGGATCAATTAAACATAAATCAATTAAATATTCATATAAACGTAATTTAACGATTTCATTTAATTTATTTGATG